AGGCACACCAGCCGACATGCACTGTTGAATGACATATTTGGAACGATGTTACTTCATTTGTTTTATGGGAGATAACATTTTAGATATTGCTACAGTTGAATTTTCGTTTTAAGGAGACACATATATACATATGAGGCAGAGTTATACACATGAATAACTTTGTACAATGTCTATTTAACAATTAACAAGAAAATAAAAACGCTATATCCAAAATCAATATTAAGAAAAAAGTTTAAACAATAAATATATATTTTCCTTCTTTTTTGTTTTATCCTTTATTACTTCTTCACTTTTCTTTCTTTTCATTTTGTTATCCTTTCTTCTTTTCATTCGTTCATTCTTTTTCTTCATCTTTCTTTCTTTCTTTTTCCTTTTTAGCTTCTTTTCATTCGTTTTCTTCATCTTTCTTTCTTTCTTTTTCCTTTTTAGCTTCTTTTCATTCGTTTTCTTCATTTAACACCTTTTATTCTCTCCTTTTCTTTCTCTTTTATTTCTCTCTCCCTTTCTTTCTCTATTCTTTCTCTCTCCCTTTCTTTCTCTTTTCTTTCTCTCTCCCTTTCTTTCTCTTTTATTTCTCTCTCCCTTTCTTTCTCTTTTCTTTCTTTCGCTTTCTCTCTCTTTTTCCCAAATTTCTTTTTTCAAACTGTCTATAAAATAACGCTACTATAAATAAATTTCAGCTACACAATCTTTCTTCTTTTCTCGTCATAAGGCTGTTATTTTAAAATGGACAATGATTATTATGTATCGATCTATCGATCTTCTATTTCAATTAGTACAGTTTGATTCATTTATAATATCGATTTTCTATCCAACGAAAAAATTCGGGCTTTATTGGCAAATTTCCTAAAATAATAACATTGAAATCAACCAGGAATTCTGAATCGACGACTACAAAAATATATTCATTGGGATGTATATTCATGAAAATGACGTTTGAATGCATTTTTGAAGATGTAAAGTAGACCGACTTGGTTTTCATAGCGAAAATGAATCCGAGAAAAATCATGAGGATTATTCATTAATATTTATTAGCATCGCCCAGTCCTCTGCTTTTATGAAAAGTGGACACTTTTGTAAATTTAAAAAAAAATAATTTTCATATCAGTGTACCCAGACAGGAATTTAAACCCGTGGTTTTTTGGGGTTTTTTTAATCAATTACAAACGGACTTACAGTTTGAATCTTAGGTCAGCAACGTCAAATCCCATGATGACGTAAAATGTTTATTCAGTGTTTCAAGAAAAAAAACGAAATAAGTTTCAAGAACAATGGTACCAATGTATAAACAACTGCTTCAACCTCAATTCGAGAAAAGCAACTGAATTGCTCAGCGTAACTTACCACGTTCCTTGTCTTTTTTTACATATTTACCACGTTCCTTGCCTTTTTTTACATATTTACTAAGTTCCGTCTGTGCCCTTCTTTAAAAAAATATTTAAAATTAATTCATTATGGTCTTTTTTTAAATGTTTTCTGAAATTCAGAAGTGAATTTTTGATTATTTCCCATATTTTTTTGGACTATTGTTCTTCCTACAACGTTTCGGACAATGTATTCTTTCAGCTTCCTGTATTGTATACACTTCTGAATTCTAATATTTTCATTATACTGTAGATTTTTTGGAATATTATCTTCATCCTTATTGTTTTTAGCGTAAAGTTTCGACTGATATATATTTTCAGCCTACTTCATAGAATTCCAGTCTATTCCATCCAATTCAATAATATTTCAGTATCTGTCTATATTACTGAGATGAGGTACTATGTGCACTATTTACATTAATCGGACTATTGTCCTCATCTTTGTCGACATATTGATTACAACGTTTCGTCCGTTGTACGCCACAGCCATCTTCAGGCGGTTGGAATGTCGAACTGAACCCTTTATTTTGCTCACTGGGGTAGACTGTTCTAGTTCCACGCGCCATATTTAATGGATGTCAGTTATCAGTTACCTCCTGTTAACTCCCCTCTCAAAGTTCTCCACTGCCTTAAGAGTGTGAGTTCAATATCTGGTTAAGAAGAAGGCTGGAGCGTACAACGGTCGGAACGTTGTAATAAATATGGCGACAAACATTAGGACAATAGTCCGAATAATGTAAATAATGTACATAATACTTCAACTCGAATTATATCGAACGAACATGTATATGAACAGCATAACTAAATTAAAGAATAGCGCTCGCTGCAGAATTAGATCGGAAATAAGGCAAAAAGGACAGTATGACTGTGTTCAAAACACTGGAAGAAGAAATACAATTTTCATTATAAACATGCTATCATTACAAACAATAGACATACAGATAGATTTATGCCTATGTTTCATACATAATACAAAGTATAACACGAAGCACTGAAATGTTACGGAAGTTTGATTTACGAAACTCTGAAACGTATTAGCGGATCGAAAAAATGTTCTTAGAAACAAAGAATGCTATACCGCCATGTACTGTCTACACTCATGTGTGACAGTGAATGCCTGACTATTTGTTCACAGATTAAAAGAAAAACTTGAATTGATTGAGATGCAATTCTATCGACGAACTTTGAGAATACTATGAACCGATAAGAAAGGAAAATGTTTTGAAGGAGAGACAACAAAGAAACTGTTTCTAGCAAACGGAAAGAGGCAGCTGAAAATCTTGGGAAAAGAAGGCTTAGAGAATTTGACACTCACATGGTTAAATAAAAAAAAGCAGTAAAAAACAATGAGTAAGCTACTTAAGTCGGAACAAATGAATGGCTGGAAAAGTACCACGAAGATAAAGAAGAGCTGTAAAGATATATTTCTCAGAACAAATAGAGGAAGAACCATCCATATCCAAAAGGAATACGGCAGAGTGGAAGAAAGAATTCTGAGAAGTTTGAAAACTTCGTCAGTTGATTCAGACAGATGTTTTCATCTTTTACACGTTTCGGCCGTTTAACATTCGGCCTGCCTCTTGTGTCTGTTATGTTTTGAAATATTGAATCGTCTACTGGAAAAGCCTGCTCATCTTCTTTCACACATTATATATTACCCTTGCGTCATTTCAGAACGCAAGAGACTCTTGAGGAATGTTGGAGAGTTCCCGGCAGAAACATTCTGAGAAAATAAAGTCGATAACCTGAAACAGACGATTGAAAAACTTGGTCTAAAATTCAGACAAAAAAAGAATAACTTTACAAATTACTTTTCTTTCCATTTTTATTTCTTCAAGGACCCCAAACCAATAGGCGCAAAAATATGTTGAAGGCTGAAGAATACATCAGCCAAAATGCGATTATTCAAAATTTAAAATATTGATTTCTGTTTTGTTCGATTTAATTGCATGAATTACTTTTTACTTCGGAAATTCGATCTTTGTATCTGATTCGGGATTTAAGGATTTCTTTTTTCAAAAACGAAATTGACTTACACAGTTCAAGATACAATTTCATTCTCGATATGAAATTTGCTAATACTGGCTACATTGACTTAGTGGCTAAGGTCGTTACGTCTTTCAAATGCTAATTTTCAAGACCGGCATTTTCTTTGAGCTTTTCTTAGAATTTTAGCATATCAGAATATTCGCTTTCACACACATACACTCTCTCTCTCTCTCTCTCTCTCTCTCTCTCTCTCTCTCTCTCTCTCTCTCTCTCTCTCTCTCTCTCTCTCTCTCTCTCTCTCTCTCTCTCTCTCTCTCTCTCTCTCTCTCAACAATTGTATCGTTCCTCTTTTTTCTTACCATCAAAGTCGGTTCACTATGTCTGGCAAGATAATTTTTCTCTCCAGAATCTATCTTACATATCTATAAGTTTACCATTCGTACATGCTTAGAATATTGCTTCCATATATGGTCCCTTGCTTCTGCTATTTACCTTTCCGCTCCTTGAAAAATCCAAAAAAGAATCAGCAATATTATAGGAATATCCTGATCTGGCGGCTCGGCTTCAGTCAATTTTCCCGTCGCTGTAATGTCGCCTCTCTGTTCCTTTTCTATAAATACTTTCATGATAATCGTTCAGATGTGATCTTCGCTATGGCTTTTCCATATATTATATACATTGGCGTTAGTTTATACATTATTGTTTTATTCCCCTCCCCCACAGACAATGACTTGTATATATGGGGACTAGTTAGGATTTTCATTGAGACAATGCGGTATTATGGTGGATGTAGTAAGAAAGGTAAGTAAGAATGTGTTGTTTTGGTGTAAGGAATATAGTGGTAAGTTTTGGTCACTGTTTGTGGCTAGCTAAGTTTAATGAAGATGAAGAGCGCCCTTTTCCCCATTCACCATTTTGGCCTTGTGCCACATTTCTGTACATGGCAGAAAAATATTGCTCATCACTATGGTACCTAGACTTTATGAATTTAAACGCAGTACTACATTGGCGGCGAGGTTTCATCAGTTTACAATTGAGTTGGCTAGAGGTAGCCGTAAGTTCTATGCTTACAGTTTCTTTTCTCGCACTTCGCGCTTGTGGAACTCCCTTCAGGATCCATGCTTTCCTGTTAACTTTAATCTGCAAAAATTTAAATGCAATGTCAATCGCTATGTACTGTCCTCCTGCTCTTCCCACACAATTAATGTTCCTGTTCCTAATTCTACCACACCCTGTAACCCCTGTGTCTTAGTGGCTTTACTGCCTTACAAGGGGTGAGACCTATTAAAAGAATCCTTTGATTCTTTCTCGTCTTTGAATGTAACTCTCTCTTTTTTATATGCATTTCCCAGAGTTTTCTCTCTTACTTTCTTTTTAAACTCGATTCCCTCTTTTGTTCACCTTCTCACTCTGCGTATTAATATAGATTTTTCTTTTTTGTTTTTTATCGATAACTGCTTTTCTTTCTCGCTTTTTTCTTTTCACTTACTCTCTTTATTTTCTTTTCTTGTAATTTCCTTCGTCTCCCTCTCTCTCTCTCTTTTCCATCCTCATACTTCCCTCTACTCATTTTCACTTCTCTTTTTTTCTTTTAACCCTTCTCACTCACTTTCTCCTTTCTAATCTCTTTCTCCGCTCTCTTCCTCTATGTTTCTTCTTCTTCTCCTTCTCTTTCTTCTTCTTCGCCTCCACATTCTCTTTTTTCTTCTTCTCTTCCCCTCCTCTTTTTTATTTTTCTTCTCCTCCTCCCCTTTCTTCTTCCCCTCCTCCTCTTTCTTCTTCTTCTCCTCCCCTTTCTTCTTCTTCTTCTTTCATCCATCTCTCCTTTCTCTGTCTTTTAATTTCACTTTTGTCCGTTTCCTTTATTGTCTATCCTTATTGTCCTATGCTTTCCTATTTTCTTTCTACCCACTTCTTTCTCTCTCTCTCTCTCTCTCTCTCTCTCTCTCTCTCTCTCTTTTCTCTCCTCTTTCTCCTTCTCTTCGTCTTTTATTTTCTAGCTCCTCTCCCTCGTCTGCCTGTCTTCTACTATCCCGTCTCTTCCTATTTCTTCTCTTACTCTCCTCTATCGTTTTTATTCTCTTCTTATTTCTAACCTCTCTTCCTCTCTTAAACACTCTTATTGCTCCGGATAAGGAAATACCGTGTATGATGTGCTACGTAGTCATGGCAACACCACCCCGTTCTCCTCCTTCTTCTTCTTCTTCTTCAACAACAACAATACTTTCTCTTTTGTTCTGCTCCTAATCTGACTTATCCCAACAAAATGGCCAAAGTTCGTCAATATTCCCTTTGTTTAACCAACTGCCAATTGATTTGGGAATAAAAAAAAATAGAAAGAACGCCGTGGTCTTCTATCTGTAAAAGGGCGAGGAGAGAAAACTAGGTTTGATATTTTGTAAGTTTCTAGTCATCCTCTCTCTCTCTCTCTCTCTCTCTCTCAGCTTTAATGTTGTTCTCTAAAACTATCTTAAGATAACGAGATCAACCGTTGGGCTGGCACAAGAACAGAAAACTATTGAGAGATTTTTCTCCTTTCTTCTCTTCCTAATTCTTTTTTATATCAAATCTTCTTTCAGTTTTGATACCAAATGAATTTCTAGGCAAAGCAGCTGATCTCTTTTCTTTCTTATTTCTCTGGCAGGTCTTCCGTTAGATTCTATTAGCGTTCTTCTTTTTCATATCAATATTTATCGTACATACACTCACATGCACACACACACACACATTTATCTCCCCCCCTCTCTCTCTCTCTCTCTCTCTCTCTCTCTCTCTCTCTATATATATATATTCTTCAAGAATGAATTGACTTCTCCGAGCCGCTGGCGTATTTCGTATAGAGAAAAACGTTAAAAATTCACTTTCCTTCTTCCGTTCGACGATGGCCTAGAGGTAAGATATCTGTCAAATCAGTCGGGTTTCAATCCCTACTTAAAGCAATTGGACGTCTAGCCACACTGAGGAGCTGTGATCTAGCAAACAGTCTGTATGTGGATGACTATATATATTCCATTAAAAACGGCTGGCGGTGTACTGCGGTTAAGTCTTTTATTTAATTTGCTCGTGTTCATCTTCATATATATATGTGTGTGTGTGTGTGTGTGTGCAGGTATGTAGAAAAATAGGAAAGAACACGTTAGGTAAATAATCCAGGGTTCTTTAGTATTTTTGTTTTTATTTTTAAAAATACAGAAGTAGAGCTTAGATTATAATTATTTTTTTAAAAATATGATTCCTTCGCTACATAAGAGTTGTCATGTTTCAAAAACGAGAGCGGAAACCCTCAATATAATTATTAAAATGAAATTGAATTAAAGTAACAAGCCCTGTTTCATCCTCAAGCGAAAATTTAGGAAGCATTCCTAAGAATTCCTAAATTTTTGCTTGAGGATGAAACAGGGCTTGATACTTTAATTCAATTTCATTTTAATAATTATATTGAGGGTTTCGGCTCTCGTTTTTGAAACATGAGAACTTTTATGTAGCGAAGGAATCATATTTTTTTAAAAATAATTATATATATATATATATCCAGGTATACGATAAGAACAGATGGAGTATAATTCCACTGTCCGTAGCATTTATCTCGTATAATAAAAATTATATATATATATATATATATATATATATATATATATATATATATATATATATATAAAAGAGATGCATTGTGACATTAAGTGTACACTGAAGAAATGTTATTTGCTCTCGAAGAAGAAAAAGATTTCTATTACTCATTTTCTGAAGAGAATAGGAAATATCGTCTTATTTTTCTTTGTTCCTATCTCTTTCTTTATTCCATTCTTCTTTTACTTCTTCCTTAACGTCTTCTTCTTCTTCTTTTTCCTGGGTATCTGGGATTTTATCAGGGCCATGATTAATTATTTCTATTCTTAGATAAGCAGCGGATTTTTGACGGCAAATTCTAAACAAATACTTGCTTTTTTCTTCTTTTTCTTTTCTTTTTTTTCTTTTCTTCTTTTTCTTTTCTTTTTTTTTTTTTTTGCAAAACCAGAATTTTGTGGAACCATTATTAAGACAAGTCTCTTCTCACCCCCCTACCTTTTATCGTTCCATACACACAAGCCGTCATACACATGCATATACACGCACATATGCACACAAATATACGGTTTCTATGTTCAGACAAAATGAATAGAAGATCTTGTCTCTTTGATATGTATATATTTAAACATAAAAACGAGCATGTATACAATGATGTTAGATATACTAACACACACAGAAAATGTGAGAAATGTAGAGGTAAGAGTTCAGGTTGTTCAAAATAAAGTTGAAGAGGTCACAAAGTCAAACCTCTGTGTGTGTGTGCGTGTGTGTGTGTGGAGGGGGGAGTATGTGTGAAGAACATATGCGGGAAACACTGTTAAAATAGGGATTTCTATCGTTTTGTTTACTCGTTTTTTGGGGATGTCTTTTATAATTTATTTTTAAAGAGTCATAGTTATGTATTTGCTTCCGGTGTCAGGAGTCGACAACACGCCTTGATTTCAAATGCTGATTTTCAAGGCAAACAGATTCTACTTATTTGCGTGACTAGCGCAACACCATTTCTCTACATATTTCTCCTTGTGTGGCATTGAATCCTACAAATCTAAGCTCTTCCTATGATCGTTTCCACGCCCGGCTGTTAATAAATCGGTTTGCGTGCATGTACGGAGTACGTAAGGGGTGAGTAAGTATACATCTTATTGCGTATGGTCTGTAAGCACGTGTGTGTGCGTGTGTGTCTGTCTGTTAGTGGACATGCCGATTCATGAGAATGTATATTTAACGGCGCTTGCGTATGTATGTCTGTTAATGGGCGTCACCACTGAAAGGAGGAATTTAATTATTTTTCCCTATTTCAACGTTTCAAACTTTGTTCTTTATCTTTTTATCGGCATTTATCTGACCAATACACGATGGTAACCCGGGGACCTCTAGAATTATTGCCTGTTCCAACAGAAAGTTAAGAGTTTATTTTTGTTAATATAAAAGAAAAAAAACAAACCAAGTGAATCGTCCTCCCCCCGGCAACCAATGAAGAGAGGCAAAAAGCAGGTCACAAAAAAAGGGAAGCGAAAAACCCGGTGGTCTGTGGCGGGAAACTTGTCGATCAGCAGACGGTAACAAGCGAGGGTAGTTATTACATGTACTTGTCGAACAATAACTTAATACGCGTATGCATATACAGAAGTAGATTTAAGTTCATACATATATGCATATGTGTACGCAAACACTGTAGATACGGATGTAATACATGCTGGTATATTTTTAAAATATCCCACGGAAAAACGACGAAATTTATCAACAGATTTCATGTATATAGCCAGGCCAGAGTTCGCATACATTCATATTTATATAATGTATATATATTTATATACACAAGTCTGTTTAGAAATAAATGCCACATTTTTAGAATAGAAATTAAAACTAAATCTAGCAACTACAAACCCTTATTAGGAATGTTAAAGAGCATTTGATGTGATTAATTTGGGATTCCAATCTGACTAAATTGATCGCTTTTATTTTTTTTTTTTTTTTTTTTATACCAATGCCATTGATCGGTTTCTACATTAGATTCAGTTATAATTTCCGTTTCGGGGAAGAAACGATTTTAATGACGAATGGTTTGATTCTAACTACTGTCGTACATACTCGAGTATAGGGCGAGTTTTTATGATCAGTTTTTTACGCAAAAAATAGTGGGTTGCGCACTATACACAGATAATTTTTGAAGAGGTTAAAAATCATGCATCTTCGAAGACCGATTGCACTATACACAGGTAATTTTTTCTGTAGAAATTGAAATTCAGACGAAAATCTTCATGGGTCTCATTATACCTGCAGTCGGCTTATAAACAGGTAAATAGGTAATCATATATGCCAGTTAAGAATAAATTTGGATTACATTAACACATATATATATTTTTTTGTATGGTATTGTCAGCGTCCATAGTGGATTAAAGAAAAAAATTCCTCACACCACCTTTAAAGTGCATTTACGTCACATGAGGTTAAGTTCAAACAATTTATTGATTTGTTTTCCACGACTTATCAATTTTTATGGCAGACTCAGTGATTATTTCCAGTCATGTGAGAGACGAGATGTGAAAGATTTTGTTTGATGACGGTCTTCATAAATGAAATCACGAATTCTTTCTAGATGTTCTGTGGATGACGGCTCTCTCTGAACGCTCATTAACTTGAACCGAAACTCGACCGGCTTTGAATCACGCATGTCACACCAAAACACTTGTCCTGCCTAAAGAATGTTCGGCAAAAGACTGACAAAGACTTCCGAGGATCTCGTAATTTTCGAAGCTTCGCGCAAAATGGGATTTGTTGCTCGAAAGTGTCAGTCATTACAGAGCTGTTACAAAACTACGCATAATAATAGTACACGAGGTGAGAGGACTAAGTCCCTTGGTAGACTAACTCAGTAGATTGGGTACAAAGAGGTGCTAGCTACGTGAGCAGTTCCGGTGAATGGTACAATTACAGCATATACAGTTCAGAAGCTTTTTGATATCAGCTCATATTGCGAGCGATGGTCAGCTTGGTCTCCCCACTCTCTCTCTCTCTCCCCACCTCACCAAGAACGATCAGTTTCCTTGACATCTGTTTTACTAATTAAGGCCACATCACGTTCTGCAGCAAAAGTTAAGTAATATAAAAGATTAAACTAAAAACTAAAATATCAAATAAAAAATTTCAAAGACTTTTAGAAATTTCACTTTGCTGAGTTTTCTACTTTTCTTTCTTTAAATATTCTTCATTTCAATAAAATAAAATTAGACTAATCCTAAGTTCTACTATAAATATGTATGACAAAATAATAATAAGAAGAAGAAGCTAAAACTTCAAGGAGTAATTTACTGTATACCTGTAATGATTGTCACTAGTAATACATAGGAGAAACATCAGGAAATTTAAATAAAAGATTATATGAACACAAAAGAGATATTTTATAAAACAACGCGCCCATAATGAGTCTACCCATAATTTCGATTTAATAAATGCTGCTTTAATTAAAAGAGAAAGTACTTTACTATTGCGAAAGTATATAGAAAGTGCTCTGATCACTAGATCATCCACAGTAAATTTGCACCCATTATCTTCCATTTCACCTTTCTTGGCAGAACTTCTATTATAACAATGTTGAGTACTTAATAATAAAAGTGATAAAACCATAAACAAACACACAAGGAAACTAAATGAAATCGGTGAGACTACATGACTAAATCACGTGTGAAAATAAAAGAAAAGTCAATAATTTAAAATTCCAGCGTTCCATCTTCAGCGTCTCCTATCGCTACATAATTTTAACCGACAATTGCGTTTTTATATATCTCCCTCCCCCTCCTACACATATAATTCCATCAGCAAAAACATTAATCCGATGAAGTCCATCTGGAGGGGCGGAACGCTTTTTTTTTCACATTGTTATCCATTTACCTAACATTGTTCGAATATAGAGAAATTTATGTCATATGTAAATCTATAATTTATAATTGAATAGTTTAGCAGCTCAATTCTTAGACCCGGCAAACCATACTAACTGCAAATATGACTTGATTCTAGTGATGAAGGCTTTATAGAATCAAGCACATATTTTAGAAGAACCGAATAAAGACAGTTGGTGCACAAAGTCTGCCACAAGGTCTCCAAACGCCCTTCCTCAGGTTTTGAATTAAGACTTATTCCTTCTCATATACTGGTTGCCAAGTAAGGGTTAGTCTATCTTACTATTTAAGCCATAGGTAGGGGGCTAAAAGATGGATCCATATCTTTCCCAAGGATATTTACGTGTAAGTGGATGTAACGAACCCGACTGGAATTTGAACTCAGCTCTGTGATTTCTTATTCCGAGCCTCTACCCATCACATCATGGGGATTTATTGAATAAATACATCTAGACTCTCATTTATTCAAAGTGACACACAGCAAATTCTAACAGCAAAGAAATCAAGAATTAATCATATCTTCTATCATTTAGTAATAATAACATTTCCATGTACGTGAGCAAATAATTTGCTTGTCTAATTGTTGTCTACTGACTAAACGGCAACTTCACAATTCTTCCATCTTGGTTTGTTTATCTACTGTACAACTATACAGGGTGCGATGGATAAATTGTCGTCTAAATGACCCAAAAATGAAGATAACACTGACATCTCATTTTAACAGATATATTTACCAAAATTACACAAAAATATCCCGAAATTCTAAAGATTAAATTTATTCAATAAAATCGTTATTGGCTTCAACCACAGCCTACAGACGAATTCGGAATATCCCGCAACTCTTCTGGATGGTCTCCTTGTTTAAGTTGGTCAATGCTGCCATAATTTTTGCCTTCAGTTTATCTTTGGTGTTACAAGGAGTTTTGTTGGTCTCAACTGCGCCCCACACAATAATCAAGCGGGTTGAAGTCTGGGTTGTTAGGTGATCAGATGTAAGAGCTGATATCCCAGACATTGTCTGACAGCCATGATTGGATTCTTCCAGCAGCCACTGTCTTGATCCATGGCAGCACTACTTCCTCAAAACACTTGATGTAGGCCTTATCAGATCGATCAAAGGGAGTTTTCCAACATCCCGTAACTTTGTAATCACCATTAGACTCCTCCAACTTTGCACTGTGCTTGGATTGACATCCAAACACTTTGAAATGTTCGTATTGGAGCTTCCGGCGTGAATGCCAAACAGTAGAGCATGCCGTTCCAAATTTCTGGTGAAGTGAATTGCGTCATGGTGCTCTTTTTCTCACAGATGGTGTACAACTGACCCTGCTATACTGTGCAATCGACAAAATCGAAAACAAACAACGTGCATGCGAGAAATTAAAAATATAAAACGTCGACAATTTACCCATCGCAGCCTGTATAGTCTTTCTGAAAAGTACTCCGCCATTTTGAATACGTTGGTACTTAACTGCGCTTGCATGAACAGAAAAAAAATGCCACTTGCGACAGTTTCTGTATTCCTTTTTTTTCCTTTCTTTGTTCTTGAAAGGTCAATGGCGCCAATTTGATAACGTCCATACAAATCAAAAAGATAGAATTCTAAAACCCAAAGAAGCCACTTGAAATTGTCACAATCAAAGCAGAACGAGAACAAGGTGCACAAGTATACTGACAAGTCTCACTTGAAACGGAAGTACATTATTTAGTTATTCACTTCCTGTTTCTGCATTACTTTCTATTGGCTGTCGTCTTTGCATTGAAGGCGAGTTGAAAGTCTAGGAAGGTGGCAAGCAATCATAAGACAATACCATGAAGTAGTTGTGGACGTAAACGAGGTCGGAAGGATACTGGTTGATGGCATTGGGTGCAACTTAATAAAATTCTTCAGTTCGTGTTTTGGTCGATAAAGAAAGAAAGGAAACGGTAAAATGGATGAGTAAAAAGGATGCTGGTGGAGGAAATGAAAAAAAAATAATTTAAGGGTTCAGGAAGGATGTGTCGCTTCAGTCGAAGACAAACTGGCCTATTTTCTCTGTCTTCAGTAATTCTTTTTTTTTCTTCCCTTCTCTTTTTGCTTACGACAAACATGGTGGAAATAGATAGATAGATAGATAGATAGATAGATAGATAGATAGATAGATAGATATGAATAAAGTGAAATTCTTTCAAAAAGAACAGGCATAAACATTTACTTTTGTCTGTCACAAGACTTGACCGTGGGACATCGAGAAAATCTCTATCTCATTACGAAAACAAGGACATGTGAGATTAACATAGTAATTACCTTTTTACTGAAGACGCCCAAATGATATCAAATTTAGCCTTCTTTCACTTCTTATATACACATATACACGCACACGAACATATATGAGAGGGTTCAGAAAACTGAGGCTTCAAAATTAATTGAAACAATTGCTTTAGCTTCCTTTCTTTCACCATACAATCAGTTTTAAACCCACTGAAGTGACAGAAAGTAATCAATTTCTATTTTTTCCTCAGGTTAGGTCATATGCAGTGGTGCGCAGTAATATGAACCTATTTTGTGGGTGTTTGATTTTATTTGTTTGGCCTTGAAAAATATTGTCATCCTTGATTGCATCAAATTTTTTTCACACCCAGGCACTATTGTCTCGATTGTCGATTAGTTGTTGTACTGCCATTGTCTGCAATGAACGTTACTACAAGGAAGCGTTCGCAAATTGTAATGCTGCACGAACACAATGGCAAGCCTTACCAATGAGCAAAGTACTATCGACTGGCTCGAAAACTCTCCTGATTTAAATCCAATCGAGAATCTGTGGTCAATCTGCAAGGAATGACTTCGTGGAATGGACTTACGAAGTACTGACATGTGCATTGGGTCATGTTTCATTGGAAAAATACGAAAAAACGTAAATAATAACGTTTTGTTTCAATTAATTTTCACAAGGAGATATACATATATATATATATATATATATATATATATATATATATATATATATATATCAGACCGACAATTCCGTCTAGCATGAAACAGCCTGACACCACTGTGTTGACTTCAATGTTTACTTTTATATATATATAGGCTCAAACACTAATATTCCATAGTTAGAATGTATTACATTGGGATCGTAACTACCATTCCAATGTAATAAATTATAACAATGGAATATTAGTGTTTGAAACCATTTATATTATATTCTTACTCTATCCTGGACATTGAGTTCTACCTGGATTCTATCCTCTTGGAAATGTATTTATACAAATTTATATATATATATATATATATATATATATATATATATATATGTGTGTGTGTGTGTATGTATATTGACCACTAATATGATATATATATATATATATATATATATCAAATGTAAAAGAACGAAGAGTAAGATTTCAGCATTCAATTAATTCATTAATTTAAAACAGAGCGCAATACAAAAGTAGAGCCGTAAAACTTTATTTATTATGCAGTGTTACATTAGAACATGCACATACCCACTACAAAACTGTACATCTTGTTTCAACGTTAAAAAAACGAACTTTTTAACGTTTTATAAGGTGGGGAAGGATGTTGGGTTGGATATTTTTAGTTGCTGTGAATTCTGATGAGAGATGACAGATAAGCGTGTCTAGCTATAGCGAAAAGCAAATTAAAAGCCAGCAATGTTTCGCGGTGTAGTACCGCAGACATGTTCTCAGTGCTGAGCAGTGCTAATTCCGTGTATCACGTGAAAGTTTGGGAATTAGTTTACATTAAGTCCTACTAGCCACCCCTTTGCAAACAGAAAAAGTGGTTGGTGGGCTTAAAGATAATATTAATGGTAATCTTCAGAACAAGTGCAACCACTATATATATATATATATATATATATACATGTGGGGTTGGAGGAGAGAAAGATAGAGAGAGTGTCTGTGTGTGACATTAAGTCGTAAATAAATTCTTAAAAATGCAATATTTTATTCAATTATATTTTTTTGAATTCTTTGCAATAACCTGTTGCCAATTAACAGACGAACTCTTGAATTTGGATTTAATTAGTGAAAATTCCCTTCACCAAAGTGTTTTGCAACGACCGAAAAAGGTAATTATCTCTTGGTACAAGGCCATGTGAATAGGGCGCGTGGTGAGGTGGGGGTCGAACAGGTCAACTTAGTTCCAAATTTCTTTCGCTTTTATTCTTGTTGTCAGCGGCTTTGCGGAAGTCTTGGAGGGAAACATTGTGCAAAAACTATGTTAGTGAACTGGAAATTTATTCTTAAATAATAAGAAAAATATATACATATATATTTTCCTTATTACTTTCAATTACTTTCGGCATGAGCAGTTGAGAGTCTTAATAAAGAAAAATTTGTTTTCAAGAAAGGTTCCAACATGAATACCACTTGTAGGGAAAACCACCGTAAAGCCTCTTGAGACAGCTCAGCCACGGAAGCCTTCCCAGTCGAGCAAAGATCAATTACATCTCTTACTAATCTTATATATAGGTTTGCTCTACTTTTGTATTGAGCACATTTTTAGTTACTTAGTTGATTACTCGTATCGGGTTTTTTTCTTTGGGCTTTGGACCTGTATGCTGTACGATTATTTTCGACAGACGTTCATGTTTCATAGCTCTTTCTTTTTTTAAAAATCTTTTTTTCCTTCGAAATTGATTTGACCATTAGCAAATCAAGAAACCGAAGGTTTTCCGAGACAAGTGTAATTACCTATATATATATATATATATATATATATATATATATATATCGTGTGTGTGTGTGTTGGGCAGCAGATCATTATCCAAACATATATTGTTAAATATAACAGACAGCGAATGTCTATTATGTTTGATCATGGGCCCTACTAAGCTTCGTATAGTTGCTTTAATTTCGGGAGAAAACAAAGTCAAAAACTGTCTTAATATTAATAATATAAAAACATATCCAAATTTTGGACAATTTTTGTCTTTATTTTCTCAAGAAATTAAACCAACTATATGAAGCTTAGAAAGGCTCCTGATCAGACATAATAAACATTCGTTGTCTCTTATATTTAACAATATGTATATGTGTGTGTACGTGTGTATGTTTGTGTATGTAGGATGTATAATAGTCTCCAAAACAAAAGTGGAGATGATTAGACATAGTGGGAAAATTATAAACGACGTGTTTCGTCGACATGTGTTGGGTTCGCCTTCTTCAGGTCGGAATGTAAGACAAAACTGTTTGTAAGAAAATGCGTTAGGATTATTAGGGATAAAAGGGGACAATAAATTAAATTACCTTATCAGATCCGACGACCAAAAATAAACAACATGCACTTTCTGGTTTCAGATCATCGGTTCTAATAAGATATTGCATTTGGTTTTTTATTTTACGATTCAATACAGATTTTCCGTAAATGGAGCTCTTGTTCTACCAAAAAAATTTAAATTAAAACAAATATAAATATTAAGCTATACAATAAAGCATTCCACAAAATTTCATAAAATTAAATTAGTTGGGTGTAACAAATATAAAAGAAAATTTCCGAAAGAGATATATTTCAAAAATAATAAAAGTCCTGAAAGTTTCATTAAAATTCAACAATTATCTGATTTTTGCAAGAATTTTCAAATCACTGTTTTCAACACAAATAGATGCTCAAATTTCCCGTACAAATTTAAGATTCCGCGTTCACGATAGAAAAACAAGATTGTTTTTACCAAAATTTACCAAGGTTCTAAAAACGATAAAATAATTTCGACATAAAAAAAACTCCTTTGATCTTTTCTCTTAATAATAACACAAAGATTCTGATGATAAGATTTATTTTTCTTACGCTTTGGCCATTTTCTTTTTTTTTTTTTTTTTTGGTGGGTGGGTGGGAGTGTTTTTGTCACATATCCTCTTTTTAGGAAGTTTTGGACGAACCAATATAAATAGATATAGAGAGAGAAAAAACAGACAAAGAACATGAAAGAGAGAGAACGAGAATCAGAGAGAGAACGAGAAAGAGAGAGAACGTGAAAGAGAGAGAAAGAGAGAGAACGTGAAAGAGAGAGAACGAGAATCAGAGAGAGAACGTGAAAAAGAGAGAACGAGAAAGAGAGAACGTGAAAGAGAGAGGACGTGAAAAAGAGAGAATGAGAAAGTGAGAGAACGTGAAAAAGAGAGAACGTGAAAGAGAGTTGTGTAACGCCGACCGGCACACATAAACGGAAGAAACAGAACTAATCTGAATTAAATCTATGTTTACTTTGTTCTTGAGGAAGGCATGAATCCATATCTCCCTGTGCTGTGTACCATTCCTTGATATCTTGACAAAACCTCTCGTCATTTACATACCATAATGGTTAAGCTACTGGTTGAAGACTGAACCTTTTTTAAATGTACAAATTGAATGTCGGGACGCCGTGTCATGTCCAGTTGTTGTTTACCGCCAAAGTTTCCCGCCGAACTTTCCCGCCCCGATCGTTCTCTCGTTGCAGTTTCATCCGGTAAACTGAGGCCCAGGAGTGGGAATCAAGGCATATCATTTACAAGGTTTCAGTAAAAATTAAAAAAAAATGAACTCACGGAAGTTTACATTGTGAAATTCTACTGACAGATGCCAGCACCGAGATTTTAAAAATAGGCCAAATATTTGGGGGTAAGGAATTTGGTGGAAATTAATATTATGCTTTTTTAAAGTCAGCAATCGTTGTTTATTTTTACATATAAATAAAGAAGTTATGAAACTAGTTTTTCTTTTTCTTTTTAAATAAAATTCGCTTTGCTATGATCAGCAAATTAAAACAATCTCGACATTTTGTAAATATAGTCGAAAACATATGCGTATACAACCCCCGTCGAACAAACAGACACAGACACATTGATTCATATATTTTATATAAAACTTCTAGTCAAGGACAATGCCATGGGTGTAAAAAAAGTCACGTGAAGAGTCATTTATGCAATTTGCAGAGAAATAATAACTAGTAAATGTTTGTATTTTCAGAGATCATTGCACTTGGTTTTCACGACAAAGAACATTAAGCCAGCAACTGTCCGGCTGTTTGGACATGTGAATATATAAACACCTTCATGTAAATACAACTTTGACTTATGAGAACTGACCATATGGAGCTGAGGAATTTAAATATTCCAAAATGAGGCTAGGCGTCAGTGTTTAATCCTGGTATAAACTAAGCTTCCTAATTCTGATTTTAATTCCAGATTAGACCTCTTACAGGTAAAATATTATCATCATCGAAAAATGAAAACCGTTTTTAACTAAACAATGTTAATATATAGATTGATTGAATAAGAAAAAAGTAAGCGAGAAAGATGAGTGAAGAGGAAGTCTAGACATAAATTAACTCCCAGTATCATGGTAGTAGAAGTGGGAGTGTCTAAGCAAGAAGACAGTTAAAATAATCTTGACCTTAAAATATTAATATCTAGTTTATATAAGATGTTAATATTTTAAAATATAGGTCAAGGTTATTTTAACTGTCTTCTTGATTAGATACTCCCACTTCAACAATCATGATATTGGGATTTAATTGAGTTATTGAGCACTTTTATCATTAAATACCTTAAAACTATATATATATATATATATAATCTAAAAAATATACTTAGGTCTTACTGCATTCATATGCGATTTTTAGCCGTCGCCAAATCCTCAAACCGCCTTAAGATTGTACGCTCAACTAAATATCAAGTAAGAATTTGAAACCGCAAATCATCAGTACAGTAAAAGTTAAATATCTTTTTATATTGTATATTACTCTGTATTTTATATTTTACCTTTTCGCACTGTGTTCAATAACACCCAGTGTCTTTGACAATTTTTATTGTTATATATATATATATTTGGTTGGATTGATGTGAGTATTTTAGCTCTATCTCTGATATTGGGCGCTTTCTAATAAGTACCGCGAATATAATATATAAATAACAATATATATAATATATTATATATATATATTTATATACACACACTTTTCATATATATATATATATATATATATATATATATATATATATATATTAGCCTTGATGTGATGTGGACCGAAAGATTACAAAAAATTGTTCGTTTACGAAACTCTGGAGTCGGGGTACTTAATATAAGAATAATCACCTAAGAGACAAATTACTTTTAGCATTAATCATTAACCGATTATTCTTACAGTGTGCTCCTTCGGCCTTGTGCCACAGTTACACATAGAAAATCATGTCTCGATGATTCCAGTATTTTAACCTACAGTTTTCTGGTTTATCGTTTTAATCTTTTTATACTTAAAAATCATTTCTACTCCTTTTCCTATTTATTTATCAGTATCTATTCCATTATTTGACGTGGGATGAGATGTAAATCTGAGAAGAAAATGCCTCAAGAATAATGTGCCTTTAAAAACAACAACAACAACAACTAAAAAGAGCGATGGAGATTGTGTTTAAAAAGAACTCTATTTATTTCAAATAAATGATGCTTGGGAAAGATATTGGATAAGTTTTTGGTGGGTGTCGTTGTTTCGGTGATGGGGAGAGCAGCTAGAGTTGAAAAAAAGATGCTGCAACAGTTAAAAGCTGTGATGCAACTGACGCGGCTGAGAGACGAATTTCCGTTAACAGTGCTGAGTGAAAGTCTCAGTAAATGCGGCCATAATGAATAGATTTGAAGTCAGTCACGTTCACACTTTCATTCTTTTTTTTTATTGAAGTTTTTAAGGCAAATGGGAAAAACAAAGAAGCTGGTTGCTAACAATCTTACACTAACGAGGGTGGGTCGGAGACTGTGATGACATCAGTGTAACACTTGTTATGAGTAGGCAGACTGGGCAACTTTTGTCCTTTTATGTACGCATGCGGGTGTCACAAACTACCAACGTAGCGGGGTCAAGTAGGCAAAAATACATGTTTTGAGGGTAGTAGTGATTTTTGCCTTCAATAATTATTCCAGCCCCAGGGACTACAGGCGAGAATCAGAGTGTAGTATCTGTTGTGTGTTCTCTGAAGCGTTACACATACGCATTAACCGATATATATATGTGTGGAAGTGCTGGATATATTAAATAAAGATTACCAGACGCAATTCGCACCTGAGGAAAGTAGGAAAAGATATATGCTAAAACATCGTGGTCGTGGGAATCGCAGAATTTTAGAAAAACACTGAATTCTTTGTTTTTATGTTGAAATTCATTATGATTTCGGTCAGTTGTAGCTTTATGGAATAGTTCAGAAAGGTCTTGTTAGATAAATAGATAGATAGATAGATGTGAACAGTGATAGATGTGAACAGTGATAAACATGAACATAGATAGATATCAATAAACAAAAAATAATAAGATAGATAGATAGATATCAATAAACATAAAAAGTAATTAGATAGATAGATAGATAGATGTGAACAGTGATAAACATGAACATAGATAGATATCAATAAACATAAAAAAATAATAAGATAGATAGATAGATATCAATAAACATAAAAAGTAATAAGATAGATAGATATATGTGAACAGTAAAAAACATGAACATAGATAGATATAAATAAACATAAAAAAATAAGATAGATATCAATAAATATAAAAAAATAATATGATTGATAGATAGATAGATAGATAATCCTCCGATGCCGGGCTTCACTTATCCAAGTAAATATCTGTGTTGATGCTAGTCTCCTACCAATTTCTAAAAGAAATAATTAATGGTAATCGTACGAAGTTTTTCCCGCTCGTTTTATTTGATTTTCATGATCTTTTCTCGTCTGTTTTTGATCTTCTTCCAATATTTTTTCACATTTAGAAAGAAGAGGTCACTGATGAGCTTAACATTGATTTCGACCGAACAATTTAGCATTATAAATCATTCTTGTTACTTCTTTTTGTATATTTTTTATTACTATTACATCCCTTGCTCTCCATACAGTTAAATTTATTACCAGCAAAAAAAAAAGGTATTACCAGCAATACATTTTTGAAAAAAAGATACCAGCTGTACATTTTTGAAGAAAAAAATATTACCAGAAATAAAAATTTTGTCGGCATTAAATAACCCATTGGGGTTGATATGCCGTAAAACAAACCAAACCAAACCACGGCAAATAAAAGAAAAAAATTGAAACCAAACATATTCACCCTCCAACTGAGACCTTTCGACCTTCCGTTTATTGCTTTATAACTGAACTAAACCTTCAGTTTATTGTTTTATCACTGAGCTAAACCTGTAGAAGATAAATAGCACTAAAAGAAAGATTAGGCTATCAGAGGAATAAATAAATTGAAAGTTTTAGTTTAAGCGAAAAAAAATCTTTTATTTCTCTACTTGGGTAAATGATTAAAAAAAAGAAGAGTTGAACAACTCTAACCATAAACCGATTCTAAACAAATAAAAAAAAAACATCGTTTCGTACTTTTGGCCCCCCAAAAAAAGTTGCAGAAAAAAAAAGGAAAGATAAACTTTTTTTCTTCTATTTTTTTCTGCGAATCTAGACAAACGAGAAGCCATTAAAAGGTCATAGATTACTGACCTCAGCGAATCGTTTGCTTCGAGCGCCAACCAGCAATCTCTGGCGGGACGGCAACTGCTGCAATATTCTCTCAGTAGGCAAAAACAAAAACAAAATCTGAGAAAAGCATCCGAAAATAGAGACAAATCTGTTTTTTTTTTTTGTTGTTGTTGTTTTGTCTGCGTTTTTCTTCTCATGCCTCCAAAACTGAAAACACACGACGACGTATTCACCGATGTTCTTGTTTTTGTTTTTAATCGTTATCTGTAACTTGAACCCCTGTCGCTCCTATCATTACTGAGTTATTCTTTGTTAGCGAGAACTGGTAGGGATTATGTTTTAAGGGTGATTGTCTGCCAATAAGGAGTGTGGATTTAAACTCCAAGCACACCCACCGTTCTTTGTTACCCTCGGTCTGTTTGCTGTCAGAATGAACAAACAAAGGGCAAGGAATTAATGAATCCAATCCTCAACGCCATTAAACGCATTCACCCAGTAGACTTGGACGTCTTCTTGATAAGAAAAGAAAGCTATATATGTTGTTTTTTTTTTTTCGTTCTTCTTTCGTGATTAAAATCTTGTTTCTTCTTTATCTTCTTTGGTGGGCATTTTTGCTTTCTTTCTTTTTCATTCTTTTTTCGTTTAACGAGATTGGTGTGTGTGTCCACTAATCCCCAACTCTTAGTTCTTTCCCTTTACCAGCCTCTTTTGGACACTCCCAATTTTGCCATAACTTCTCTTTTCTTCTCTGTCAACTCACATCTTTCTCGCTCTCTTTTTTTCTATTTCTCTTTTTCTCTCTACCATTTATCAATGCGTTTCTTTCTTTCTCTCAGCAGTTCTATCTCTCTCTCTCTCTCTCATTTCCACTTTCACTCCCTTGTTGTTTTCAAATATCTCTCTCTCTTTCTCTCGTCCTCCCTATTTAGTTCATTCTCTCTTTCTCTTCTCCTCCTCTCTTTTATATATGCTTTCATGTTTCTCTCTTTTTTTCTCTTTCTCTTTTTATATGACTATATTTTTTCATCCTCTATTTTTTTT